CCTCCCGGACTTTGCCCCTTTCCCAGCTGCAGCTGCCCACAGGTTCAGACAGCGTGTCAGATTACTGTGCTGGTGATGCCTTGTCTGAGCTCCCCAGACTGAGCATGGACCTGCTCCTGTGTCCCTCCAGGTGACCGGTCAGGAGGCTGTGCCGGTGCTGGGTGAAGCTGGAGGCTGCGGCTTGGCCCCACAGTGGTAGCAGATCTCCAGTGCAATCGCTGCAGGTCCCAGGGCTGGTGGGAGGGCCAGTGTTAAAGGATGAATAGCTCTCCTTTGTCTCTAGTGTTAGGAGGTAGGGATGTGGTTATAGCCAGGCTGAACCCTGCAGGCATCCTGTGAATACTCCCCCAGGTCTTTTTTGTCGTCCCTTTATCCCCACCCTGCCAGGGCAGCCCCTAGTGAAGGTCCTGGGGAGGTGGGGAAGGAGCAGTAGCTCAGCACAAGTAGGTTTGCTCCCGTTGTCCCACCTTTCCTTCCAGGAAAAGTGTGCGGGACCTCCCTGGTCTGTCCCGCAGCCACGGGCACAAAGATGGCTGCTGCGGCACATGGCACCGAGGGGCTGCAGGGGCTGCACTGCTGCCCCGGGACAGAACGGCACCTCCCGGAGCAACCTTCTCCCACCGGCGCAAACCTGCTCCCAGGTGCGCTGCCATTCGTGGGGTGAGGAAGAGGGAGGCCATGCAGGGGCTGGTCTTGTCCCACTTCGACCCTCCTAACGCCAGCAGCCCAAAATACAAGAGGCCATGTGGCTGGATGGGACATTGCTAGATTTCAACTCCTTCTCTTTCCAGGGATGAAGTTTCATGCAAAGGGAAATGGAAGAACACTAAGTTCAGAATCTTATCTCCGTTTTTATTTTTAGACAGGCATTCATGAGGACGAAATGACGTACTTTGGGGCAGCCTGTAGTGCATGAGAGTAATTAAAGACAATATTCTTACCTTCGGTACCATTCTCTCCTCAGTCAGTTGGCTGTTCCCAGGGCAGGATGATGTTTGTCTGCCATAATTAAGCCCGATTTTTTTGTTGTTGCTTTTGGCTTAAAGTAATTTATCATGCATGGTAGAAAAATATGAATAATTTATTTGTGAGTTAAAATTTAATTATAGCTTTGCATTTGGCAAAGTGGGGGCAAAGCACTGGCATGATCTCTCCTTGGCATTTAGGGTAGATCTGAAGAAGGCAATTAAAATCCAAGTGAAAGTGGAAGGTTGCAGCCATGGTTTCTATGGGAGGACTTCCACCAGGGTCGTGTCACTCAAGCG